TTTTATACCATATCTTTGCACAGTCCTTTCACCTTCTTTTGATGCTTTCTGCATTATCCAATATTTTTCCCATGGCATTGATGCTTTTAGGTGCTTCCAAGTATTTGCCTTCTACTCAGAGTTACCCTATATAAAAAGGAACAAAACAGTACTCAATCCTGCACACTTTTCACTATCTTTGGTATGCTTAAACTCATTATATGTAGCCATGTGTCAATTTATCTCATTAAGAATCTTTCTCTTTTTTCTATGATCATCTACTTACCAAGCATGATTTCTTTGTCTAAGAAGCTTTCAGTATGGATTACATTTAAACATCAAGAAAACAAAAATAATTACCACTGGCCGAATAGGCAACAGCATAATAGACAAAAGATTGAAGCTATAAATTATTTGATCTTGCTTGGATCCACAATCAGCACATTGGCACCAGCAGTCAAGAGATCAGAAGACAGATTGCATTGAGAAAATTCACTAACCAGGACTTCTCCAAAGTTCTAAAGAGCGATGATATTAGTTTAAAGCCTAGAGTGCACCTGACTCAAGTAATGATCTTTTCAATTACTTACCATCCACCTGAAAGCTGGACAAAGAATAAGGATAACAGGAGAAGAATGAATGTCTTTTAACTGTGGTCTTGGAGATGAGTACCAGGGCTCCTTGGAGGCAAGGATGATAAAGCTTCGTCCCACATATTTTGGTCATGCATGTTAGGAAAGGCTGGTCCTGGGAAATGGACATCATATTTATAAAGGGAAGGCTCAGTGAAAGAGAGGAAGACTTTTAGGGAAGTGGACTGACACAGTGACTGTAACGATGGGTTCAAGTTTATCAGAATTGGTGAGGATAGCACAGGCTAGGGCAAGATGCGGCTCTGTTGTTCATAGAGCTGCTATGAATCATACTCAACTCAACGGCACCTAACAACAACAACCTGATGTTGCATACCTCCCTGGTGTTATAGGTCTGTGTAGTTTTCATATTATAGGCCTATCAATTATTAGACTAAAAGTTGAGCCACAAGAGTGAGTTTTATTCCAGATTTGAAGGGTGACTAAGCACCACAGTTTTGGGGGCTTCCACAAGTTTTTAATAGACCAGTAAGCGTGGCCAGTTTTATGTTTTGGGATTTTGTTTTACATTTTTTTGCCCATTCTATACAAGACCTTCTACTGTGACCTTTTTTTTATAAGCTGGATACCATCTAGTTCTTCTGGTCTCAAGGCCATAGAGGTTGAGGTTTGCATGGTACGTTAGTCCTTTGGACGAATTGTTTCTATACATCTTTGCTTTTTGCTTCCCTCTTCTTTGTTTGAGTTGGATTGCACTTCAATGTCAAGAAAATACAAATTCTTACCATTGGACTGCTAGGTGACATCTTGATAGATGGAGAAAAGATTGAAATTGTCAATGACTTCATCTTACTTCCATCTACAATTAATACACTTGGTACCAGCAGTCAGGAGATCAGAAGATGTATTGCACTAGGAAAGACTGTAGTCAGGGACTTCTCCAAGTTATTGAAGAGTAATGATGTTGGTTTGAGGAGTAAGGGATGCCCTACTTAAGCCATGGTCTTTTCAATCATTTGCTATGCACCGGTGAGCTAGACAGTGAATAATGATGACAGAAGAATTGATGCCTTTGGACTGTGGTGTTGGAGAAGAGTGCTGAATATCCCATGGACTGCCAAAAGGATAGATGTGTCTTGAAGAAGGTACAGCCACAGAGTGCTCTTTGGAGGCAAAGCTGATGAAGCTTTGTTTCTCATATTTTGGGCATGTTGTGAGGAAAGACTATTAATTGGAGAGGGACATCATGTTTGGGACGGTAGAGGGATGGTGAAAGAGAGGAAGATCCTCAATCAGGTGGGTTGATACAGTTATTGCTCAATGGGCTTGAATTGTCAGAGATTGTGAGGATGCCACAGGATAGGGTGGGGTTCAGATCTGTTGTTCATAAGGTGGCTATGAGTCATATTTGATTCAAGGCATCTTACAACAACAACTTCTTTGTTCAAGACAGGAAGAAAGCAACTGATTATTCTTAGATGGCTGCTCACAAGCTTTTAACACCATAGTCACTACTCACCAAAGTAGGATATGCACAGTGTGGACTATGTTATACCAGTTGATCTTAATATCCCTGGAATCTATGGTTACAAGACCCTGTAAGGAGCATTTCAGGATTTACTTCTTCTAAGATAAATTTGTTTATTCTTTTGGCAGTCCATAATGTATTTTCATAACATGACAATTTTAAGTATTAATTCTTCTCTGGTATCCTTTATTCATTGTCCAATTTCCATATGCATATAAAGTGAATAAAAATACTAAGGCTTGAATCAGGTGCACCTTAGTCTTCAAAGTTACATCCTTGCTTATTACAGAAAGTATGCCCATAATAATATGTTGTTTGATTTCTTGACTGCTGCTTCAATGGATGTTGATGATGGATCTAAGTGAAATGAAACTTGACAACTTCAGTCTTTTGTCTATTTATCATGATATTGCTTATTGGTCCAGTTGTGAGAATTTTCGTTTTCTTCATGTTGATGTGTAAGGACTTTGGTGTAGATCTTGAAATATTCTTTTCAACCTATAAACATGACACCTTTAGTCTTCAATTTGGCTTTCTGGTCATAGTAGATCTTATGATTGTCATATTCAAAATAGCCATTACTGGTGCATTTCATCTCACCAATGTCTCAAAGCAAACAAGTCACCTCAAATAAACTGTTGTTGAGTCAGTTCTGACTCTTAGTGACCCTCCACTAATTTATCTTTTCTTAAAAAATGGGTTTTTTTCCATTTCTGTTTCGGCAATCTAGAAAGGTCACTCCTTGAGACAAGAATTGCAAGAGCAAATGATGAAAAGAGTATGTTCATACTTCACAAAGAGAGAAGTAGTTGAGAGCAGAAAAGGTTTATTAAGCAAGGAATACTCTTGGGAGAAAAAGAGAGTGGGTCTATCTCGAGAGGTGAAAATAGATCCTCCATTAATTTCTCATTGAACCAGCAAAAGAAGCCACACAATAGATTCTACTGATTTACCCTCATTTTGTTGTTATGTGTACCTTTGAGCTGGAACCCACCCATAGCTGATCCTGGGGCTGGTTTTCAGAGGCACTTAATCACAGGGAAGGAGATTGTCCAATCTTGGGGGTGGTGGCTGATGGATTGGAGCTGCAGCTTCTTGCCACTAGTCCATCAGAGTGCATCCTCATTTTACTAATGAGAAAGATTAGGCTTGTAAAGGTGAGCCACCTATTTGAAAGTGACTGATTGCTGACCCCCCAGTGGGTTTTCTGAGGCTGTAAATTGCATGGGAGGAGATTGCCCATCTTCCTCCCAGGGAGCAACTGGTGGATTTAAATTGCTACAGAGGCACCACCTTTGGATTAGCAGTGCAATTCCCTAAAGACTAGACTACCAGAGCTCTCTGCCTTACTATTTAGGCTGCCTGAATATAATAATAATAATAATAATAATAAACAATAATATCATCATCATAATCTGTCTTCCTAACCACTAACGTGACACTCTCCAATGGTCTAAGGAGCAATGGTGTCAGTTTAGAGACTAAGGTGCACCAAATCCAAACCATTGTCAATTACTTGCTAGTCATCTTAAAAGTTGGACATGATGGCATTGAAACAGATGAGGGAGAGAACTGTTTAAAAGCGATATATGATTGGGTATTATTGTCATGACAGGAGTCCGGAATGCAGGCTGCACAGTGGAGTGATGGGGAGGGATTGCATAACAATGAAAGAGTTTCTTAAAACTTTCAAGAGGAGTGAATTGGGGAAGAGGGTGGGCAGGGAGAAAAGTGAAACAATGAATGACTAGAAACCCTAAGTCTCTGTAAACTTTCATTAAAATTAATAAAAATATAGCTTTGATAAAAAAAAGCTGGACATTGAACAAAGATGATAGGAAAATCAGTATCTCTGAGTTGTGGTGTTGGAGAAGCGTGTAGAATATCCCATGGACTGTCATGAGAACAAATCTATCTTGGAGAAAATGCAACCAGGATGCTCCTTAAAGGCAAGGATGGTAAAACTGCATCTCATACGCTTTGGGCATGTTATAAGGAGGGAAAGGACAGCATGCTGGGAAAGGTGAGAAAGAAGCCCTTCAACAAGATGGATTGACATAGTGACTGTAACAACCAGCATATCAGAGATAGTGAGGATGGTGCAGAAAGACAATGTTCAGATCTGTCTTTCACAAGATGACTGAATCATAGTTGGCTTGACAGCATCAAACAAGTGCAAAGGTGGTGGGAGTGTTGAACGAACACGTTCTCTTGCATTTTCTGAAATCTAGATAAACTCTGAAGAATTGAGAAAGCTCATGAAACAGAGCGAGAAAGATAGACTCTTATCTACCACAACAAGTCTTTCCTGGTATCTTTTCTTCCTTCTTCAAACTCTTGTAGGCTGCGGTTTACATCCCCTCAGCCCCACGGGGTTGATGGAGGACAGGGGAATCTGGGGAGCAGGCGGCACTTTCCCTTCCTCAGCCAAAGACTGAGGACAGAGAACTAAGGAATGATCTTAGAAACTGTTCGGTTGGAACTGACCCGTAGCTGACTCTCCAGCGGGTTTTCAGAGGCAGTAAGTAAATCGCGCGGGAGGAGATTGCCGGTCCTTCTTTCCACCGAGCAGCTATGGATTTGAACCGCTTGTTTTGGGGACTGTTGCACAGTTTTTAAGCACTAGGCAAGCGTAGTGTTGTTATGTGCCTTAGAGTGCAGCGCAGCAGACTTCCCTAGCATGAGCAGGAAACATAGGCAAACATAGCAGAAGAAAACAAAACCAAGCATGCTCGGCGAGACAGCAGGCAGCCAACTTATGGTGGGAGAGAGTAGGCTTGCCCGAGTGGGCGGGTCTTGCCCGGGCTCCACCCCCGACCCGCCCCCGGCCCTGCCCCCTCCGCTGCCCCGTTTGCTGGCAGCCTCAGCCAAAGCCCGAGGTGATCCGCCTGGCGGGAGCCATGCTAGCCGCGGGCCTGGGAGTGCGCCCCTTGAAGGCGCTGCCGCTGCTGCTGCTGCTGCTGCTGCTGCTGCTGCTGGCTGGAGCTCGGGGGTCCGTGGAGAGCCCGTCCTCGCTTCCCGCCCCGCCCCGCTTCAATGTGAGCCTGGACGCGCCCCCCGAGCTGCGCTGGATCCCTGTACTGCGGCACTACGACCTGGACTACTTGCGCGCGGCGGTGGCGCGAGTCATCTCGTGAGCGCGCAAAAGGGGAGGAGGGGGGCGCAGCGCGGTTCTGCCCGGCGTTGATGGCCTGGGCCTGGGTGCTGGAAAGCGCACCAGAGCTTTGCCAAACTTACTTTAAATCGCGTGACGATCCCTTTTAACCCGAGCAGCAGCCCCTCCCAACAGTGACTCCCCAGCTTTTGGGGCGTAGAGGTGCGAGGGTGAGAGCTCAAAGGGTGGAGAACCATACTGGCATTTGCCGCTCTGAGCAGCGTCGGGGTGGAGATGATCTGGCGTGTCTGGTTTGACTTTTAAATAGATGTCACCAGTGACATATTCCTCTATAAACCATTGCAGGGTAGGGTAGTGCTTCCCCAGCTCCGCCACCCCGTGGGGAAGGCCTCCCATAAACCCACTCCTTTGGGTTTTTATTTTTCGCCTTTTGGCACAGTGTGAATTGGGTGGTTCGATGCTGGGGGCGCTTGGCACTCATCTGTGATGCTGAGAATTTTGGCTTATTCTTCTCGCACCCTTCAACCTCCTCCTCTAAGGCACATTCATTCACATCCTTTGGAGCCCTAAGTAGATCAAACACGCTCATGATTTTCCTTTCTAGGGAGAGAATCCCCAAGTGGTTCCACACGTCGATAGTAAAGATAGTAGGGAGGATGGAGTCCTTCCTGCCACATCCCTTCACAGACGAGATCCGCGGCATTTGTGATGTCCTGAACCTGAACTTGGCCGACTGCCTGCTTGTCAACCTGGCCTATGAGTACACAGCGTGAGTGCCCCATGGTAGCGCAGATTCACGTGAAACTTGCCATGGGGAACTCTTCTGCAAGATGCAAATGGGTGGAGACATGCTTTCAGGGTGATAAGAACCAGGCGGTGGTGACTAGGGTGTTTGGAAACCTCCAGTACTTCTTTTCTTGGTAAATCTGAGGAGCAGATGTTGGGTTTAAGAAGGGGAAGGGGGGGGGCACAAGACACACACAGCAATGCTTCTGAACTTCACACACTGATTTTTTTCCTATGAGGCCTCATTTTTCTCTCCACCAAGTTAGCAGGCAGCCACTTTCAAATCTCTGCTCCATGTGTTCTTCCACCACTGGATGCTGGAGTTGAGCAGGGACCCTCCAGCTCTATAAAGGTAGTGGTTGTAGCAGCATTTATTTACTCCTTTTCCTCTGCATTCATCTCACATATTGTTAAGAGCCATCTAGTCAAGTAAGACTCAGCGCCCCTATGAACAACAGATGTGAACCCTGTCCTGTCCTGTGCCATCCTCATCCTCTCTGAAATGTGTGACTTCGTTGTTATATTCACTATGCCAATCCATCTTGTTGAAGATCTTCCTCTTTTTTTTTTTTTTTTTTGCTGACCCTCTACCTATCTCAGCATGATGTCTTTTTTCAAGGACTGGTCCCTCCTAACTATGTCTCCAAAGCATGTGAGATGACCTTTCCAAATTACTTAAGAGCAATGATTTCAGTTTGAAGAGTAAGGTGTGCACGATTCAGGCAGGGTTCAGAGCTGTTGTACATAGGGCCTCTATGAGTTGCAGACAACTCAACAGCATACAACAACAAGAAGTGTAACTCAAGAGGGGTCAGGTGGGTGCAGATTGGTCAGAAGTCTATGCTCTCATAGATGTCTTCTCAGTGCAGCATGAAGAGTTAGTTGCTGCTTTGAACAAAACAGAATTCCTCCTCTGTCCTCTGTGCTTTTAGGATCATTATAAAACATTTGAGTGTCATATGGAAATATTTGCCATCAGATCAGAACTGTATGGTGCCTACCTTCCATTCTTGAGGGTTCCCCCCTCAAAGATTTTATGGCAGAATCCTGATCAGAAGAGTGATAGTGTAGAATTTAAAATTCTCATGGACTCCAGACTTTCTGGAGCCACAGAAGGTGGATGAACCCCAGAAATTAATATCCTGAGATACTCTTTGAACATGAAGCCAATAACATCTCCTAATGTCATTTTGAAAACCAAAAAAAGGGTTTAGTTTAACTAGTTTTTTAAAAAAATCTACCTTAAGCATTATGCTCCTTAAGATTTACCTAGGTGGGATCAAAGTGACAAAAACTTGAAACATTGTTTCGACACTTTGGTGTCAGGGCAATTATATTCATGGGAGAGAAATAACTTGAAAAAAGAGAGAAGGGTTGCACGTCTTGAATAATGTAACCAGTACCATTAAATAATAAATGCAGAAAAGATTAACTTGATAGATGTTTTGCTGTACATAGTGTCAACAACAAAATAGATAAAATGAAAAATAAAATCCTCAGTCCATTATTTTCAACCTTATTTGTGTGATTGGCCTATCTCCTTCAGAATTGGGCATATTGTTGTTAAGTACCGTCTAGTCAGTTTGAACTCATCACAGCCCTGTGTCTGAGAGTGCACACTGGTGGCTTACTGGTAAGGAGCTAAACTGCCAAACCAAAGGCACTCGGATTGAATCCACCAGCTCCTCTGCAGGAGACAGAGAGACAGTTTCCTCCTGCTCTGTTTACAACCTCTGAAAACCTACTGAAGGATCAGCTGTGAGTCAGTTCCAGCTTGCAAATACATAAAAACAACATGTGTTAGAGAGCATAGAATGCTACCAGTTCCTGAAGTATTCTTAAATTCACGCTGTGTTTGAGATTATTGCTGCAAGCCATTGCATCGTCCATCTCATTAAGGGTCTCCTTTCATTCTGACCTGCTCTACCAAGCATGATGTCCATTTCCAGGGCCTGATCCTACCTGATCTCATGAAAGTGAGATGAAGTCTAGCCATCCTTACTTTTAAGGAGACTCCCAAGATAGGTTAGTTCTTCAGTAATCCATAGTATATTCAGGATTTATCACTGTTTAAATGCATTGATTATTCTTATTTTTACCATATTCATTGTCCAACTTTTGTGTCCATATTGTTGTCTGCCATTGAGTTGGAACCCACCCATAGCTGACCCGCCAGCACCTTTTCAGAGGCAATTAAACACACAGGAGGAGATTGCCCGTCTTTCTCTCACAGGGCAGCTGGTGGACTCAAACCACATGCTTTTGGGATTGCAGTGCAGCTTCTTGCCACTAGGCCACCAGAGCTTCTTATTATGTGTGTCCATATTAGAGAACTGAAAATGCCCTGACTTGGATCAAGCGTATCTTAGTCCTCAAAATGTCATTTCTGCTTTGGGTCAGCACTTTACAGAGGCCTTTTGCAGCATATTTTACCCAATGAAATCCATTGTATGATTTCTTGACTGCTGTTTCCATGGACGTCTGTTATAGATTCAAATAGAACAATCTATATTGTTCATATTTTATCTGTAATATCTCTTATTGGACCAGGTGTGTGCATTTGTTTGTTTTCTCTGTAATTCATACTGAGGGTTACATGATCTTTGACTTTCGGCAAAAGTGCTTCTTCACTTTTGTAAAGAAGGTAATGTTGTCTGTATATTGTAAGTTGATAGCCTTCTACCGCTCTTGATGTTTAAGAATTGGGTATAATTACATAGTAGTCATATAACTAGTCATATAACATTGAGTATCTTCAAAAAATGTAGCTATTTATACTGTTTTGTTTTAACAAACCTGCACTTGTCTTCTTCAAATTACTTCTTTCCCGCTAGAAATTTTTACAGGATCCTGCTTTCTTATCTTCTTCATCTAAAGAGCTCAGAGCATGTATGTTTGGAGTGTGGGTAGGATAGCAGAAGAAACTTAGTGGCCAAGCCCTTAAAGAGCTGATAATTTTCTTGAGGAAATGTTTGTAGAACTGACTGGCACAGGACCATGAAGCTCCCTTTAAGAAATTTCTAAAAAGGACTATTTACCTTGAGCTAGTTTTGAACATGATGTTAAATAGGATAGATTGTGCCAAGGAGAGGAATTAGCCAAGTTCTGAAGTTTAACTGCCTCATGTTTCATTAGATGTATTGCAGAGTTGGAACTGACCCATAACTGACACTCCCATCTTCTCCTGTGGAGCAGCTGGTGGATTTGAACAGTGTACCTTTGTGTTAGCAGTGCTGTTCTTTACCACTAAGCCACCCGAGCTCCCTAGCTGAGCCTAGGTGGGTCCATTTCTCTTAAAATTTGAATTTAGGATGAAAGTTGCATTTGATGTCTTTGTGAAGCTTTGGATGTCAAGGTTTCCTAATACAGAGTGAATTCAGAGAGTGTTTTTCATCTTGAACTGAGAATCCATGTTCCAGTCTAAGGACTATCAATATTAGGGAGCTCTGGTGGCCTAGTAATAAGGAGTTGTGCTGCCAGCCTAAAGGCGTGCAGTTCAAATCCATTAGCTGCTTTTTAGGAGAAAGGAGCTCTGGTGGCCTAGGGAGCGTGGAGAAAGAGGGACAGTTTACTCCCATGTGATTTATAGCCTTGGAAAACCCACTGGAGGGTCAGCTATGAGTTGCTTCCACATGATGGCAATAAGTTTCTCTAGCTCTTGTTCTTGGAGGACCCCTTGCAAGCTTCTGAGTGATGGTAAATTTCTTAGTAGATTTTGGTTAGTTTTCTTCATATTTTTCTGTATCCTCCAATTGTTATAATGATTACACATTACCTTTAGAGTTCATAAAAAAGAAAATGCATATGAAAATACTCTATACTTTTTGTCTGATTTGTCTATAAACCTAAGGCTTGCTGTAGAAATTGAAGTCTATTATAAAAGAGTATTGCGATGGGAAAGTCTGCTGTTAGGGACCTCTCCAAAGTACTGAGGAGCAATGGTGTCTCTCTGGAGACTAAGATGTGTCTGATACAGGCCATGGTCTTTGCAATCACTTGTTATGCATCAGAGAGTTGGACAATGATTAGGGAGGATAGAAGAACTGATGCCTTTGAGCTGTGGTGCTGGAGAAGAGTATTGAGGGTACCGTGGACTTCTAAGAAAACAAACAGGTTCATCCTGGAGAGAGTTAAAGCGGGCAGCTCCTTGGAGGCAAGGATTCTGAGGCTTCATCTGACATGCTTTGGACATGTAAGAAGGGACCAGTCCTTGGAGAGGGATGTCATGCTTGGGAGGGTAGAGGGACAGTGCAGGAGAGGAAAACCCTCTATGAGGTGGATTGATTCAGTGACTAGGGTAATCGGGATGTGTGTGTCACAGACAGTGCGATTGGCACAGGTCAGAACAGGGTTTAAGGTTGTTGTACATAGGGTCGCAATGAGTCGCAAGCGACTCAATGGCACATAACAACAACAACAACAACAACAACATAATAGTGTTGCTTTTTGTTTGTTTCAAGAAGGAACTGGTTCAGGTTTTAATTCCTTGCGAAATTTCTGATCTTATTTTCTTAAGAGATTGGTAAAATTGTTTTAGTTGTGTGTTTATTTTACCACAAAAAGTGGCTAAAGATTATGTATATGTGTCAGTTATAAGAAGGAATAACGAGAACTTGTCTTGAAAATAAAAAAATCTGTTTTTTCTTATTTTTCTCCCTCACTCAAGTTGTACTTGTTCCCTTTACACAGATTCTGCACCAGTATCGTGGCTCAAGACTCCAGAGGCCACATTTACCATGGCCGGAATCTGGATTATGCTTACGGAAGTATCTTGCGCAACTTAACGGTGGACGTGCAATTCATAAAGAATGGGCAGGTAGTGTTTGTAAGGTATAAGATAAAGTAATCATTTGGATGACCTACTGACTAAAGCTCATAGACATCATCAAAGCCCCTGAGAATAAAAAGAGAACAGTTTATATTAACTATTATGATGGGGTTTCAGCTCACATACTTTGGGCATGTTGCTAGGAGGGGCTATTCCTTTTAGAAGGACTTGATACTGAGATGGGTAGAAAGTTGGTGAAGGAGAGGAAGAACCTCAACCAGGTGGATTGACACAGTGACTGCTGCAATGGGCTCTTGTGTGTCAGGAAGGGTGAGGATGGCGCAGGATAGAATAGGATTCAGATGTTTTATTCATAGATTGGTTGTGAGTCATACTTAACTTGATGGCACCTAACAACAACAGCAACAACAACAACAACAACATTCTGATAGAAAGAAAGACCACCTGTTGTTATTGCACATCTGTTTAAGAAAGTGGTTCAGTTTTCTGTAGTTCAGGATCTTGGATAGACCAATCTTCCCTTTATCACACTGAGTTAGCTTTTTTCCCCTTCCTCCATGTTCTAAGATGAACCAAAAGCCTGTTATTGTTAAGTACCTTCAAGTCTGTTTTGACTCACACTAACCCCAGGTGACAGAGAGTTGAACTGCCCCTTGGGGTTTTGGGAGCCTGTGATCTTGACAGTTCTGGTTCTCTAGGTTTCTCCTGAGAAGCTGCTGGGTTGGCTCCAATGACAGCTTTTTAGTTAGCAGTGGAATGCTTACCCATTGCACCACCAGGTCTCTTTGCTCAAAGGCTAGTTGTTTGCTCCCTCTCAGCTTGAAGTTCAGCAGACTGAGGTTTGAATCATGCTTCTGTTACTCCCTCTGTGAACCTGGAAATGACTCGTCCTTCTTGTGGAAACTGTTGCCTGAGGAGGCTCATAACAACTTCATTGAAATTGTTATAAAGGTAAAACAGAGTAATCTCTGTAAACCTTTGATACTCAAGAAATGGTGGCCAAGTAATAAATGGTCCTTCACTGGACTATCTCCCCCACTAGGTAAGATCTTTTAAAAAAATTGTGCATTTTTTTTGTTTTCAGTATGGTTTCTTTAAGATTATGTTCAAATGTAAATTGTTAACACATTACAAACAAACTTGTAGAAAGCCACCCACAGTAAGTGCTCACTGAGTGCACAAAGCATGGTGCTGCTGCATTGGCAGACATTTAAGGATGGGAGCCCTGACAATCCTGCTGTTAAGTGCTTGCTGCTAATGAAGAGGCTGGGCAGTTCAAACCTACAAGCAATTCCTGAAGGAGAAAGGGCACTTGCTCCCATAAATATTGCTGTTAGACGCCCTTGCATCATTTCTGACCAATAACAACCCTAGGTATAAAAAGATGTGACACTTACTGTTGGGTTCCCCACCATCCTTATCATTCTGTTTCCATGGTAGCAGCCACTGTGCTGTCCACCTGTTGAGGGTCTTCCTCTTTTTCTGCTGATGACTTAGTCTGTAGGGAGTTGTACTCCTAACCCAAAGGTGGCTCCTCTCTTTTGGTTCGAATCCATGAGCGACTGTGACAATGAAAGGTGGGCAGTCTCCTCCTGTGCTTTTTACAGCCTCTGAAAATCTGCTAGAGGGTCAGCTATGAGTTGGTTTTGACTCGCTGGTAATGAGTAGAGAGAAGTACAAAGCACCTTACTAGCTTTGGAAACCCCATAACGCAGTTCTGCTCTGTCCGAACGGATTACTCTAAGTTGAATCCATTTGATGGCTGTGAGTTTGGGGTTTGGGTTTTATTTAAGAACAAGGTCTATTTCGTTTGTTTCTGAATTTACTGACCGTCACATACTAAAACCTAATTTACTAATTATTCACCAGAAATATTTAAAGTGGAACCTTTTTATTTCTCAAATTTATTTTTGTTTACTTGCCATTATGAATGATTTGGTTTGTTGCTGGGTACTTAACTTAAAAGCCTTTAAGAGTTCTACCTGTCTGCGCAGGAAGGGGATCCTGGAAGACCAGGCTGTCTGCTGAGCCTGGGCCAATGTGCATGGCCGGGTGGAGTGGGGCTTGCGATGAGGATGTTATTGGGACACAGGCGTCCACTTCCAGATGTCTGTTCTTGGTGGGTACACATCTATCAGAGGGTGTGCAATGACCGAGAAAGCCTTTTTTTCTGGGGTTTATGAATGTGACTGATCCAGCCAGTTGGAAATCACAGGACTGGCAGGTCATGCTGTAAACCCTAGGTTTTGGAGGATTGGATAAGTAAGTTTTTCAGGGCCTGCTATAGAGGCCATCCCATAGGCCTGTCCTTCCCACTGCCCTTGCAAACTTGGACCACGTGTTAGCAGAGTCTTAGTGGATGGGTCTAGTAGTCTTGTTTCAGGTATTTTCTTTTACTTCTAGGATTTGCTGCAAATGGGTTGAGCTGAGAGTGAGACTGCATTGACTAAACTTGCCCACTTGGGCTGGGAGTGGTGTAGCCATTTTTTGGCTCCTGGCATTTAAGAAATAAAACTCAAAGAAATTGAAACGTATTACTCCATAACTTTTAAATGGTGGCAGTGACAACATAAATACATTTTAAATTCTGGAAGAAAATATGTTCAAATACTACTGGTCATTATTCCTAAGTGATAACATAATTGGCTATTTTAAGTTTTTAAGTTACTATTTTAAGCTTTTTTATCATGCATTCTACAGTGAACCGAGTGATAGATTCACAGAGGGATAAATGCAATAAAAGAAATAAACTGTTCTCACTAAAGCTCCAGCAAACTCACTGTTGTCATATCATTTGTTTCTGTTATTATTGACGCTCCCAGGAGGAACAGCCTGTAGTGTGGCTTTGTTTTCTGTGCTCAGTTTAATATTACTCCTCACAGCTAACAGGGAGTTCTGGGTGGAGTCTGTAGGGAGCTGCATTGTTAACCGAAAGGTAACACCTCTCTGGCAGTTCAAATCTACTAGCTGCTCCTCAGGAAAAAGATAATACAACCTTCTCTTGTTGTTGTTATGTTCCATCGAGTCGCTTGCAACTCATAGCGACCCTATGTACAAGAGCCCTAAATGCTGCTCTATCCTGTGCCAACCTCGCCATCTCAAACACACTCATTCCCACCACTCCACTCACAGAATCGATCCATCTCATCGAGGGTCTTCCTCTCCGGCGCCGTCCCTCCACTCTTCCAAACATGATGTCCCTTTCCAAGGACCAGTTCCTCCCTGAAACATGCCCAAAGTGTGTCAGATGAAGCTTCAGAATCCTGGACTCCAAGGAACACTCTGGCTTCACCCTCTCCAGGACAAACCTGTTTGTCCTCCTAGCAGTCCACAGTATATTCAACACTCTTCTCCAGCAATACAGCTCAAAGGCATCAATTCTCTTTCTATAATCCCTAGTCACTGTCCAGCTCTCCGATGCATAGCACGTAATTGCGAAAACTATAGCCTGCATCAGGCGTACCTTAATCTCCAGCCTGACATCATTGCTCTTCAGTACTCTTGAGAGTGATGATGAGACGGTTCACTCTTGGGTAATGTCTTTCTGTTGAGAGTCAGTAAACTGCTGTTTTCCTCACAAAATACTTCTGTCTGGTTGGTCACAATTTTGAATATATGCTCATATATGTGATCTTCAGGGCTGCCCTATGAGGCAGGTATAAGTTCACATTTTAATTTTCCATATGAAAGAGTCCCAGGCCTTAGATTGGCTTGTCCCTAAATCCTCTGGCCACAATGTGGCAGAGGCAGGACCAGAACCCAGGCCTTCGGGCTCCTAATAACTTTCATTTTCAATGTTGTTGATTGCCTTCGAGTTGAGGACCACTCGCAGCAACCCTATGAACAAAAGGCCTAAGGGTGAAGATTTTTACTTATATGTGATTTTAATGATATTGTTTGGTAATTTCCGCATCCTATTGGATCAACTGTTTTATAATGAGAATGCATTTGAATATCTTCCAGTCAGTTGGTCAGATCGCTGTCTTCCAAATTTCTTGGCACAGACTAGTGAACATTTCCCGTGGATTGCCAAAAACACAAACATCTTGGAGGAAGAGCAATCAAGGTCCTCTTTAGAGACGAGGACGGTGAAGCTTTGTCACACATTCCTTGGGGATATTGTCAGGAGAGACCAGTCCTTGGACAAAGACATGCTGGGAAAGATGGAGAGGGAGGAAAAGAGAGGAAGA